ATTGAAAGAGGAATCCAGATATAACAAGGGCAATAAAAATCAGCATCATGTCAGAGAATACAAATAGAAACAAGGTAATTCTGCAAAGCGGTAAGTAAAATCAACAAAATCTACAAAAGGAATACTTTTGAAAAAAAAAAAAAAAAAAAAAAAAATGCGTACAGACAACACAACCAGCAGCTGCTGCAGTTTTTCTCCATATTACCAACAAAAAAGTGGTAATCTCATGCTCAGCATTTGAGCGTATCAACTGACATGGGAGACAGGACACATCTTATTTTGTCACTTTCAAAAAGAACCTGAAAGGTTAAAGAAACCGAGCTGGCAGATTTTGCAGTGACCACTTCTCAAACAGTTAGTTGTTATAATCCAGTTATTGTTGTAGGGATCTTTTTTTATTTACAGTAGACAGATGCAAAATGTGCCTCTGACGCTAGTCAAAAATAAGTGGAGAGTTTCATCTTTTCACAAGTCTGCAGTTTCCCCCAGCACATTAGCCTGGCAGGCTACAAAAAACATAGCGAAGCATGATTTCGATGTAGTTATCCACTACAAAAGCAACCAATAAGCTACCTTGGGCAACACTTACAGTATATACACAATAACCATAATTTATAAATGGTAATGAGAATATTTATTATTGACTAACAGATAGTTTATAAATGTTTGACAATTGGTTATAAACTACATCTAAACCATTTATAAAAGGTAAATGGATCATATAGCCCAAAGATGTAATGCTTATTTGCCTAAAAATTACATCAATGAGTTTTTTTCCATAACCCTAATCTGACTGGTTTATTTGCCCTGGCATTTTAGCTTATCCCTAATCCTAAAATTGATGGATTCGAGGCCTAAACCTAGCCTTTAATTTTCTTATTTATTTTGCCCTGTCGTGTTGGACTAACCCTAACTAATCCTTACCCTAACATCAGTGGGATAAATACCATACTAAATTGTGGATTTAACTTTTATAAATGGCTTAGATCTAGCTGATAAATGATTATCAAATCATTTATAAACTTTCTGAGCATAAGAATAAAATTATAAATGCAATAGCAACAAAGACATGATAAATAATCCCATGTTCAGCCTTCAAAAAGATAAAGGCTGAGAAAAGGGGGCAATATAAGATGCAAATAATGGATCACGTTATGAATTTATTTATTACTTAATTAAATCCATCTGATGTTTTTCTTTCATTTTCCTTCTAAAATGGTAAAATACAGTTATCTAACATGGAAGTAAATGTATCATTATTAGTGCAAAATGTGTTTTACTGCAGCTGTTTAAAAAAATAATAATAATATTGAAAAGTTATTTTGTAAATAAACAGAAACAGACAAATATGGTATTATTGTTCATGTCCAGCTTAGGGACAGAGTATTTGAGCTACTACATCCCCAAAATGGCTAGCACCACCCCTGATCTTGTCATTTATCTCAAATTCTGTGACAGGAGATTTTGCAGCATCAGCTACAAACTCCATTTATATTGTATAGTGGGGGACTCTTCAGAGTGATGCTGTTATCATTCAGCTCTGCTTCAGTTTGTTTGAGACCTTTTGGAACCAGATATACATCACAGCCATGACTATGTGTTTCCCTCCTTCTTCCTAACTCATCTGAAACATCTTAAGCCACGCCAATGTACAGCGTTTTGCACCAAAGGGGTGGATTTGTTTTGACACAGTTTTTATTAACAAACAGGCTACAGGATATAAAGCGTGGAGAAGTTAGGGAGGGCAGGGGATGGATGAGCGGTGGGAACAAGGACAAAAGTCCCAGTACATGCCCTATACCTCACAAAGGTTCCTGTGAGCCAAGGGGTAAAAGTTAGAAGTGACGGTATAGGGTGTTGACGTGCTCCCTTGGAGCACTGTGTTTAACAGAAGTTTAAAGCATAAAAGTTTTGCATATCTTACTTAATTAGAAATTGTCACTCCCAGTCTCCAGTTTTCTTCCAAGGCTGTTTGCCATAAAGTCTTTGATTCTTCAACTGCGCTGCTGCATAAATCAGTCCTATTATCAAAGTCCCTTCATTTGGCAGCAGGGAATAGTACTGGATAATCCTCTTAAGCTTGCAGTTTCTGATCTTAATTATAATCATTTCCATCTGCTTATGGAATCTTTGCCTTAATTCCGCTTTAAGGTGTAAAACTTAGAAACACATGAAATATATGGCAGCTAAAGCAAATACACTTTTTGCTCCTCTCAAGGGATTTCTCCATCACATGTTTTGATAAACCTAAGGTTTTACTGAACAAGACTAAATTATATTGTGGTCTAAAAAAGATTTAGAACACTTCTTTATTGCCTTTCAAGTTGATATCCCCTCTTTCCTTTAGTTCATTGTCCCTTTCTATGACTGTTGTAGCTGCATCTATTCATTTGCATCTGTGTGGCTTGTTAATAAATTAATAAAGCATATAATAGTTACTACCAGCATGAATGACCTGAACAAAACATTTAAATACCATATTACTTTATTTCTCTATTTCTATCTCTTCTATTTTTTATCTGTGCTTCAACATTTCTATCTGTGTAGTTGACCTCAAGAGCAAGCATTACAACACAACAGTCTAAGCCATGACATTCACCAATTATGCACAACCCCCCCATATTGCATGGGTTATTTAATTGTATTGATCCCAATCCTTGTTACCAGTGTTTGACTAAGCAGTTTACAAACAGAAAAAATACTGTGCATGCTAATCATATTAACATCTCTGCTGGAAGTCTAATCTTATCAGAATAATTAATCTATAAATCATTATTTGATTTAATTCAATATAAAAATACAGAGACATATGAACATTACACCACTGAATATGCAGTTGTATGGATTTATAAGCACTTAAGCATGATCACTCTTTTTAAATGAAAGTGAAATTTGACTTGTGTAGGTAACTAAGAGAACAAAAAAATATTTGCACATTTAATTGTATCTTAAAGTGCTCCATGAAGCCATAATGACAGTGACTGACAGAGTTAACATCACAGTTTGACTAAGTCTGCAGAAAAGAGATCAACTCCATTTTTTTTAAGGCTGATGCAAATACAGATTATTGTGATATCCCTATCTCTACTGCAGACCACCATCATTTTTACAAGTTTCCTTGCAAGTCCTGACATGTTAACTACCAGGAACACATGTATGCATATCCATTTCCACACGTAAGTCTTTCATCTCCTTAATGGTTTTCAAGGTTTTTCCTGTTTAGTGTATGAAATTCAGCTTGTTTTTGAAAATAGAAGGGTGACTGTGGTTATTATTTATTTAACATTTTGTTTTAATTTTTTTTATAACAGCAAGCACATTGTTAATAATGTTTCTCCTTTTCATTTTGACAAATATGAAATGATAAGAGAAAAGAAATGGCTACTTTTTTTAGTATGACTTTTTGTTCAGTTCTACAGTTTACATAAAAAAAAAAGCTGTGATTTGGTTTGGAGAAGCTGTTCTTTTAATCTCTTTTATTTCAGTTAGTGAAAAAAATATGTTTTTTTTTTATTTTTTAATTAAGCAGGACAGGAATGTCTTTCTGGAATTATAAGAATATTATAAAAAATATAATATTTCATACTACCTGGTTTTGGTGTTGTTGCAGTTAGCAACAGCAATTTTTTGTCAGCATCAATTGTGTTGAAAGAAAATTTCTCAACCTTCAACAATTATATAATAATAAAATAATAAAAATAATTTTTTTTATAATTTGGGGTTAGGAGGAGTGTAATTATATTGTCTCTCCCAGTAACTGCTGTGTGTATTTAAACATTCATAGACCAGAAGGCTCAAGAAGTGTGTAAAAATGAGATGCTCTCTTTTACATGCACTTGATTACACATTTGAGCAATCGAATCAGAGGCCCACAGCTCACCCTCAGTTAGTACCAATCACCGTCTATTGATTGTCCAAGCTTTTTGTTATTCTCTGAGTCTTTTCAATCTTCCATGGAGAGGATCTAAGCAAGAGGAGGGAAAAGGATGACTCAGATTAGCTTGTCGATCCTCTCTGTGATTTGCATCCAAAGGAGAGCTGTGGACAATCACCATCTGAAACAGTGTTGTTTTTGTCAACGATGAGCATGACAAAATTACTTCGTTGACGCTCCTTTTTTTCATGACGATAACGAGAACTGGTGAGATTAACATGGATCTTCGTTGATGAAAACATGAGAGTTATGAGTGTGAGTTTTAGTCAACGAGACAAGACGAGACTAAATAAAAATTAGCAGGTAGTCGGTAAGACATTTAAAATGCATCATTGTGATGTAATCTGCTAAGCAGTATCAGTATATAATCCAGAATGGTCTGAGTGTCTAACAGAAAACCAGAACTGTGTGCAGAACTCTACTCTACTTCCAGCTGTGTTTGTGCAGAAATGTTTCTCTGTGCACACTTAGCTCAGAGTCTGCCCTTTATGCTCCATACTTATGGTTCGCTCTCAGCAGTAAGGCTCTTCCTGCTCTCGCTACTTAATAAACTATATGTGGCTGATCAACCTTTGCCAACCCCGTTGTCTAAATATCAAGATTTTATTTCGTCCAGCTTGCAAGAGGTGATGCTAAATATTCTTAAATTTTTACCAAAAGCAATCCATAAATTATTTCCAAACCAAATATTTAATTGCATACGTGAAAATGTACAAAGATCTTTGAATATTTCTCTCTCATAGTTCTGTTTTCTATCTATTCAAATATGATATAAATATTTCCTTGTACTGTCGTTAAAACATGTTCTCTGTTTCCTTTAAATATTTCAACATTTTAGTTAGCATATTCGTTCAAGTTAGGTCTGGATTGCCATGGCATTACAAGGCAATCATGAAGGTTCTCTCTGTAGTTTTTTTTTTATCAAAACCCTGTGAATTTAAATCTACTTTGACCCCTGAGCAGCTGTAGCCGAGGGGTAAATTGAAGAAATAAAGCCAAAATTGCCAAAGTAGAAAGATTTTTTTTGTTTATTTTGTTGTTTGCTTTTTCTCTGTGTGATGCATAATTCATTCAATTCAATTTAAAATGTAACTACATTTAACTAAACATCCTAAATCTATCTAAGGCTGATAAGGAGATGCTTGCATCTTTTTGGGGAGCAGACAGACTCATACCACAGGTGAAACTTTTATGAGTGACTTTGATTCCTGGGCAAAGAATTAGGTTGAACAAAGCATTTTCCTTCTCTGAATGGCAACTCTTTTCTGTCAAGACGACGTACTGCTCACACAGGCTCATGGCTAGAGCCCCTGACATAACTGCAGCAGGCTGATGTGCATCTCAGTCCAACAAGTTGCTTTTAACATCGGCTTTGGCATCAAGCAGTTGAGGTTAACATCTTTGGGACAATCAGGTTGTTTCTTCTTAACCAGTTGTAATGCTAAGTTCAGACCGCAAGCAAAAAAAGCTTCTGCTGCTGTATTTTTACGCTTATTGACATTAACGCCAGACGTGCATCAACAGCAGCTTTGACTACTTGATTTTAGACGTACACCTGTGGCCATAGTTATGATTGGAACACCTGATTCCAACAACTCGGATGTGTGAGCAAATACTTTTAGCAATATAGTGAATTTTAGACATTACTAACATTTGCAAAATTATGGGGCAGTGTAGGCATTCAGATCAATGTCTAACTAATTAACCTAACTAGGAACATGTGATTACAATCACGCCCCATCATCATGAGATGTTTGATATATGAAATTAAGACTGACGCTGTTAAATGAGCTATGACTGCTTCTGTAGCATCTCAAATTCTGTATATCTAAATATATCAGCTTTGACTGTTATTTTGCAAAGCCAGTCATTACAGTCAAACTGTGTCAACAGACCATAAACAACACCAGCTCCACACATTCAAGATTCTTTTTTTTCTTTTTTTTCTAAAATGAAAATGATCCAATGAGAGCACTCTGAGAGAGAATGATAATAAATTGCTGAGATCTTTCTCCCCTTTCTCCTCTGGATCTCTGTCTTGTTCCCAGTTGGTGCTCATTTTCTCTCATCGTGACAGAGTGAAAGATATACCGACAGAAATGGAATCCAGGTAGAAAGAGAAAAAAGATAGGGAGGACACCAAAAAAGGAATATGACAGATATTCATGGTTATTGTATTTTTAGAATCCTATAAAAATGTCTCACCCTTTACTAGACATAGACAGAACCTTTCAGAATTCTCAATTAGGACTTATCCCTATGAGAAGATCTCATCTATCTAAGATAGTTATTCTAGTGCATTCTAAAAACAATTGAGTTTTAGGAGAACCTATAGATTCTTTTTTTTTTATATAAATAATTTAGACAGTTTTTTTTTCCATATGGGTACTCTAAAACAAACCACAACTGCAACAAATATAGACGATAGTGATGCATGGTAACTGGAATCTGGTTGACTCAAAACTGAGGCAGTAAGAAACACATGACAATTCATTATGGGATATGTGCTATTATGAAGATTTTTTTTTGAAGCCAAGTTCTTAAAAATGTCAGCGCAACAATGAAACACTAAAAACAACACAGTTCTCTGAGAATGAAATGGCTAGATGAAGACAAAAAAAAAAGATAATTTCTGGTAAAATGTTAGATATCAACTTACATGGATCTCCCAAAGCACTCTGCTCTTTGGGCTCAGTGGACTTCTGAAACAATGAACCTTGGGACAGGAAAAGAAATGAATGGTGGGATGAATAAATGACTTAAGAGGACAACATAAAGCAAATCAAATGGAACAAACATGAAAGAACAGAAACATTTGAATGCCAGTATTTCAGCCTGAGCCCCCCTCCGTGTCGCTTTAGTTTTACTAAAATTCATGTCAAAAAAAACGTTTGAAAGAAAACATGAAAAGCTTGTTATGCCAAAAAACTGAAAAAAGAATACATCTAGAATCCATATATGTAATCCAGTTACTGATGGGTCATGTGAAGCACTCCACTTAGTTCCAGGAAAGTGGAGGTTTATGACATAGTTGAACTTAAGATGTACTGATGTATAATTGAAGAGCTGGTATATAATTGATATAAAGCTCTGTAAAAACGTAGTGCACTTTAAAGCTTCTTGCCTGGACAGCTGACTAAAGAAAGGGTGGAGAAAGATATCCTTCCAAGATCAAGTGAGGTGATAAGCATATGTTGTATAAACAGGTTTGCCATTTCATTTAAAATGTTCAGGTGACGTTGGGAGCATTTCCCAACACCTTAAATACTATGATATGGCTTAGTGCAATTATAGGAAAAATAATTAATATACCCTAAAAAATGTTTTATCTCATTTTGTGTCTTGACAATGCAATTTTGGAAGTATTTTTAAGACGTTGATGACAATCAGAAATAACTCTCAAGAAGAAAAACATAATATATGTTATTTTAAAAAAAGCCTAGTCACATACTATGAATTTACATATTTCTATGCCTGTTGCTTACTCTGGTTACATACAAAGATTGTTTATTTACACAATGTTTCCTTGTTGGCTTATTATGTTTTGTTTTGGTGTATTGCATGTTGTTTTTTCCTATATGTGTTTATAACGTCTATAAGTGCTTTTGTGTACCATAACATTACCACGTGACTGGAGGTAGGATATTGTGCAGCCACACAAGTAGTAAACAACCAATGGAGTAGAAAAACTTAGCAACGTCAGCTAGGGCTGCAGAAGAAAGAGGAAAGTCTAGGATAAATGTGTGAAAAAGTGCAAAACTTTGTATTTTTAAAATAACCTATAAAATGTGTGTTTAAACATTTTGGGTAATTGAAAGGTGTTTGTTCACTGCATGCATGTAACACAAACATTGTTAGGCAGTGCCTAAAATTTACTTTAAAAATAGTGAAGTTTGTTGGCAAGCACTGGTTGAAGCAATTTATGCAAAGTCATACAAATTAACAGCTTTTTTTTTATTCCCTTCTGGCTTCCAGACAGATTCTGAAGAAACAGTGATGTCTGTTGTACTTTAAGTACTTTAGACGAGCCAGCATTCCAAGGGTAGTATTAAATTATTTTTCGAATTGCATGAGTTCCACTTTTTCAGGATATGTAAGTAACACAAAAGCAAACATCAAAGCACACTTGTTCATGTTTTTGCTATGGTCTGTTGCATATTTAATACCAAGAGAGATAAGACTAGAGATGTGCTTAGAATACAATATGAACACTGGGATTTTTTTAAAGGTATAGGGGAGGATGTTCTTTTTCTGCGTCTATCGTCAAAATAAGTGGTTCTTCTGGTGATATGTTTCTGTGCATGCGCACTTTCAGGTGTATATGTGTGGTAAGGTATGGTTTCAGCCATTCATTGAAGCTCACCTTTCTCACGGCGGTTCTTTGAAAATGGCAGAGGGTCGTAAGAAAAAAGTGTCTACAAAGTGTGTGAGAAGAAAAGAAAGGCCTCAGAAGAGAGAAACAAGACCAGGGTGTTTTTGGGAGATTCTTTCTTGCGGTGCCGAACACTGAAAGCACAGGTTGGGCTTCCAACTGATGCCTCAGTTGCGAAGTTTCTAATCGACAGGTAAAGTTTGGCATGCTATTCATTTCACATCACTGCAAATAAAATGATTAGAAATGGGCTCGTGCACGTTCTCGCACACATTTAACAAGTGTTCCCTCTCGGGACAGGTACAGAGTTGTGCTTGTGTTTAAGTCAAGTTCAAAATTTATGGAAAATCCTCCCCTATACCTTTAAGTGAGAGCTAAAGCCGAAGAAGCTTTTAGATATTAGTCAGTTGAATTATATACGATTGCATGGTCTTACTTTTAAACATACAATTAATGGCAACACTATTCTAAGGTTCTTAGATATAGTAAAGTTTATACCATATGTAATGCAAATTTTATTTGCCATAGTTTAAGTTTCCATTTTTTTCATAAGGTACCAGCAGATGGTGACATCATACAACAATATTTATGCCATTGTTCTACTTATTTTCAAGCAAGATAAACTGTTGTGAAATTTGTGAACTCACAAAATCCCATAAATATATCTTGCAGAAATGTTTCCAACCAATGAAAAACAATGATGTATGTATGACATCAATCAGAAGCGGCAGGCTGAAGTAAAACAAACACAGCTGCGTCTGTGGATGTACTTGTTAGCTGTTAGCAGAGATACTTGACACTTATTACCTCTGGCAAGAAGGTTTTGTTTTTTGGAGAGTTTGTGTGTGTGTATGTCTGTCTGTCTGTGTACAGGATTCCTTGAAAAGTTATGTACGGATTTCAATTAAATTCTTACCAGGAGTGTCCCTCATACAGAGGAACAATTCATTCCATTCTGGTGATGATCCAGATCATAATCTGGATACAGAAATATTTTTAAAATTTCTCTGGCATTGTTAGATAGGGATATTTGGCGGAACAAGCAGTTCCACACTAAACTAGAAGGTGGCAGTCGTGGCCATTAATAGCCTCAGCATTGGCCTCAAAAAGTCAGGAGGTATTTTACTGAAGACAAAAACGTAAGAAAAAGGAAGGTTTTCAGTTTTGTAACAGAACAACTGAAAACTTATGAACGGATTTTATGCCAAGGACCGATAATGATCCGGATCATGTGCGACTTCCAGCTATAGGTATAATTTACAATTTGGGGGAAAATGTACTGCTTGGCGGAGGTCGGCTCTCTGTGTGGTTTTCTAGTTCAGTATGTTTTAGCTTGAACACCCTATATTTCTTTTTTGAAAAATGAGCAGAAGTATGAATAAGAAGTTGTGCCTTTGTGGATGGGAAAGATGTTTGCGTGTTCCTCACAACTCTATTTGATTTATCAGTTAACTCAGATAGTTGTGAAACAGATCAAGATTGCGACACATCAAAACTGCTACTGCATTTGGCTAAATGTCGACATGGGAGGCAGGTGCTGCTTGGGGATTTACCCAATCATGTCAAAGAATTGCACTTAATGTGCCTCTCTTTTGCAAACTGTTTCTAGTAGCTTTTCCAAATATATGTGCAGAATTCACATTGACCTACAAGTATCTATAGAGAGGATTAGGGCCAGTTTAATATGGGAGAAAAAGTCAGACTTCTGACTTTTTTCTCAGAATTATGACTTTAATCTCTCAGAATGCTGAATTTAATCTCAGAATTTTGGATCTTAATCTTAAAGGGTTACATTAAGGTAGAGATGTGGGAACACGCAGCTTCACCGACAAAGATGTGAGTTGTTTGGGTGGGCGAGTAACACTTTGCTGGAAAATGACGGAATTAGGCATAATGACAAGTCAGAATTTTGAGACAAACGCCATAATTCTGAGAAAAAAAGTCATACTTCTGAGATTAAACTCAGAAGTCTGATATTAAAGTAAAGTCATAATTCTGACTTCCTTCCCATATTAAACTGAAATAATATGTAAAACCAGTTAACTTTATTTTTTCATCAGACCTAATCCTCTTCCATAAGTATCAATATGACTTATGCCAAGTTAATGTTTTACAACCTGGTGCAAAAACATTTATCAGACAGAAGAAGAAATTAGCAAACACTACATTTTTTATTATTTTACTTGAAAACTGATATATACATAAATTATTTGATGTGAGCATACTTTTTTTTTTTTTTTTACTTCAAAAGTATTCCTTTTGTAGATTTTGTTGATTTTACTTACCGCTTTGCAGAATTACCTTGTTTCTATTTGTATTCTCTGACATGATGCTGATTTTTATTGCCCTTGTTATATCTGGATTCCTCTTTCAATTTGTTAAAGAACTCCTGATAATGAGCATTGCTGTTTTTAGTCAAAATCATTAAAACTTCTCTTTATAAATGTAAAAGGTTTACTTTTATCATAAAACTCCAGCATGACTGTACCCAAGCTGAAATGTCTTTCCACCTTTACAGACAGACCTGGTAAGCGATACATTAATCAAGATAAGTCATGAGGTCTACAGTACGGTAGCTGTGGAGGAGCAGTATATCAACAGCTCAACTTGAAAAATCTTTCATCATCAGTTTAACATTCGACACATTTGACATTCACAGAAGAGTGGCAAGAAGAAAGATTTGGTAAAGCAATCAGTAAATGTAGAGCTATTTAGGTAACAAGCTAAATGTTAGAAGAAAGTGCTATGGAGAGCCCAAAAAATAAGCTTTTTAGATTACAAGCAAAACTCTTTGTTTAACCAAAATGTAACAATGCAAATCTCCTTCAAAACACAGTAATACTTTTGCATAAAATCATATAAGATTAAATAAATTAAACAACATTCACATTTCTTTTATAACGAAATACAAAAACAGCAAAGATAAGAGTCAGGAGAATGTAATGATGACAAAAATCTGCTTAGATACTTAAGGAAACAAGACGGAAGATTTACAGTATCATGTTTTAATTTTTGTATCATAAATGTTTAATTAAACAGCAATATTGGAATGCTGTGCTTACCAAATGAAGCATAAATGACTGAATGAAAGCAGATGCAGGAGAGGTTTGGTTAAAAAGACAAGCTCAGATGATGGCTAAGCATTTGAGGAAAGTGGCAAATGGCTGTGGACATGACATACAGAAAGCAATGTTAAAGAGTGACCTCAAAGGGAGGAAACAAAATAATAACAATATAAATATTAGACTGACTAGAGCTCATCAAGGGTAGTAGCTGATAGTTTTACATCATAAAAGGAAAGCACAGTTTATTATTTTATCCAAATTCAAAAGTTACATAACAGT